CTCATTACTCGTAAATTTGGTTCAATATCGCCCATAACGCCCATCCTCCACGTAAATCAACGATATCAGGGGCATCCACGAATTACCATTCAGAAGCGATTGTTATTCGCTTCTACGAGACAAATGTCTCGGGCGACCCGATACCGCCGTTCGTTCGCGCCCGAGTAATGAATGCCGGCTTTAATGAAAACGGCGAAACGCAACCATTATCGTGCGAAGATCAATCTCAGATAATCCTTTTAACATCGCGACACACGATTGTAATCCGCTGTTCACGTAAACGGGAAATCGAATCATTAGAAACGAGGAGAAATGTTATTTTTTTCTTTCGTAAATAAAAGAGAGTGAAAATTAATTATTTTATTAAGAGTTTAATAAGGCTCTGTAATATAAATATAAATTTAAAGTGTAAGACAGGCAATGAGAGCCAAATCGCGGATGACAGTGCGTTATCCCAACGAAACTTAATTTTTTCGTTAGAATTAAATACCTGTGCACAAGGCACCAAATTTTACTTGGTCACGGCCAAGATTTAAAATTGAAATAATCTCTACGAGAGATTTAATTCCATACATCCCCTGTTCCCCCCTAAGGAAATAAATGCGAGAGAAAAATATAGATCCGAAAGTCCAAGTAAAATTTGGTGCCTTGTGCACAGGTATTTAATTCTAACGAAAAAATTTAGTTTCGTTGGGATAACGCACTGTCATCCGCGATTTGGCTCTTATTGCCTGTCTTACACTTTAAATTTATAATTATTTTATCTTTTTCTAAATCATCGTAAAGAATTAATCGCAGCTCGAATTTTGACAATTAATTCCAACGCGCAGCCTTTCTCGTAGATTTGCATCGCGATGCATTTCAGATTTTGATTCATATCTCTCGGCAAAACAGACGTACGATCTTTGTTACACAAGTCCCATCGGGCGTGTGCTCGTATATAAAGTCTAGATTATTCTCGCAAACGCCAGGTTGGCATTAAGAAACGCGAGCGTACAAAGCAACCGAAAGAAAACTGTAGTCCCGTTGGAATTCATGCAATGTAACCCGGAGGCGCCGTTAAAGCAGATATTACGGAAAAGTTGTTTTAACGTCGAGCCCTGCGAGAAAGCTGTATCCCAAGGAAGAGACTTTTCCACCGTTGTTTTGAATTCTATCTCTTTGCCTTTCCCTCGTATCATGTAAGCCGTCCGAAACGATGTCACAGTGGAGTTATATTATTTTCTTGAGGGAACCCCGCGCGAGACAAACGCCAAGATGCAGCCTCGACGCCTTGTAAAGTGATACGAGAAATCTTCGTTTACAACAAGTGAGAAGTTTATGCTAATATTATTTTCATGAGTTTGTTGCGCGAGCGCAATTCCGTAAATAAAGATTAAGATTCGAGGAGCGGCTAAAATGGTTAATTTCATCCAGGATAATTTCTAAACATCCTAACTGTTTCATTACAGTTGTACATCTATGCATATACGTCGTTGTAATGCTTTCGCAACTTTTATTACAGAATTACGGTATATAATTAAACTGCAAAATATTTCTCTGGATATAATTTGCGAAAGAAACTTTGTTTAAAAAATACACGCGTTTTACGCGTGCAGTATGCGCACCAATGTTCGCGCCGGAAATGAGGATTTACACTGTTCTTAACCAGCCGGCGAGTGGAAGGAATTATTTCAAAAAATATAATTACACGCGTACGGTCCACATGGTACCGCAGGCTTCGTTATTCTCGTGTACTTTTATTGTTACGGAAAGTTGCCGTTTACACTGGCTAGAAATGTGAACAAATGAGATCGACATAAATTACATTTTCTTTCATCGTTATACATGCGTATAGCACTGACAATGTATATTATCATGCGTATAAAATATTTCTAATATTATAATACAGTATTCTTTTGCAATATTAAAACAGTTACGTTGAATTGTTTTCCGATTAAAAAAAAATTGTGCCACTTTTAATTACGATGATAGTTTAACTCTTGGTACTTAATCCGGATATTTATTTTCTATTGTTTGAAAAATACAGTCGAAATTTTATAATAATTAGTAAAAAGAAATTCATTCTACATTTCTGAATCTCTATAGCTGTACAAGTATATAATAATACGTAACGATGAAAAATGCATTAAAAAAAATCTACTCGTTTTCTCTCTCCCGATTACGTATGATAATGTGAAACATGCGTCTGAGGAAAGCGCGATTCGAAAATTCTCGGTATGCGAGAGAGTTATTCTCTCGTGATGCGGGAATGCATATTACACACACGTACGGTTTCCCAATCGTAGCCCATTGTCGCGAGCATGCCCGTCCGAGCGAAATTCCGGTCACGATCAGCGATCGAACAATGGATCCTTCAGAGATTGCGGGCAAATCGCCCCTTAGGGGCCTTTCGGGGCCCCTTGCTCGCGGGCCCGCGACAAACATTGTTCGCTTGGGGGACGAAACGGGATGAAAAGACAAGTGCACAATGAACGGGGAAGAGAAGGTGCGCGAACGACGACGAACAATGATCTTCCGGTATATCCGTACGGACGTGCATTAATCATGGCGGTGTGACGTCGGCCAATCGTCGCCGATGCGGCCTCGACAACGGCCTTGAAATATCGCCAGCTAGCATACCCCCGACGATTAACCGCCGTCGCCGATAATATAACTGCCTTCTGAAGGTTTATGGAGGACCGCCGCGCCCGACGAGATCTATTGCCAATTACATTATTGGCGTCTTCGCTCGAGCGCGGAAGTTTCAGCGTCCGATAATCGGACGGAGAGAGATTCCGATTCCCGCGGAAATAATCGCATCCTTCCGAAATTAAGCCCCCGGTGTCCCCGCGATGGATGAAAGGGTAATTAACGCCGGCACACTTTTCCGCGATACGTCGCGCCCGTAAATTATGTCGGTGAAATTTTAACGCGCTCCAGATGCGAATTTAATTAAACGATACTATATTTAGCGCGGTAATTAGCGCCGGAAAAAGATAACTTTTGCGCACGTATAAAACAAAATGGAAATTGTAAATAATGTACAGGTATAATCAGGAATACGCTTATATAATAATAAATTCGTTTTATTATTAGTTTATTGTGTGTGTGTGTGCGTGTTATATTAATTTATTTGAGAGCTGAAAAATATTCAGCGAAACTATTGTATTTCCAGAATATAAATACACGCATAAAAGCGAGCTAATAGAGGAGTGAAATTTATAACTGCATGTTACACACTGTAAATGTATTCTAAACATATATAGTTATTACGTTCGCGAAATACAACGCGTTCTTTCCTCCCCTCCAAAAAAAGCTTCGAAAACCAGATATTGCAATAAAACGTAATAACGAATAAATCAAAAAAGATACTGGTCAATACAATTCGATTGAACCAACCACGCTTTGCCAGGCATTTGTGCAAATCCCCACCGTATCACGCATTAGACACACGTATATATGCGCGACGTTGCGCAAAATGTAAAATACAAAACGCTGTAATGCATCAACAAACCCGATACGATCCCAGTATGAACGCGAGTGCGGTAAAGTGCACCTAACACAAAACTGACATTTCGAGGAAACAAAGACGGGAAACAGTGGTGGCCGCTTTTGCAGTGCGGCGCATGTTTCGATAAATTTCTATTTTTTACTTTTTGATCCTCTCTCGTAACTATCAATCTCGACGGTGTATTCCCGAGCTATTTTGAAAATATCGTCCGTCGGATATGATTTTCTTTCGTTCTATTTAGGAGGATTATTGCGCGGCTAATAATGCGACGCGATTGTTTGCTCAACGACCGACTGCTTCACATGAGAATTTCGAGTCACGCGGCGTCCATTATTCTCGGTTTCAGTATGCGGAAGTTATTGGTAAGTAAGACGGTCCGAACCTGAGCATTATCTACCCACAGTAGTTCTCCATGGACTAAGGCTTTAACTTCGGAGTCGGGGATCCTCCGACCACAAAGCGAGGACGATAGTTTGGCTGGCTCGGTCCAGTATGCCATGTAGTTCGATTAGTTACATGGCTTGTAGCACGGCTTATGGTTAACGTCAAACGCTTAAAGCCAAACGCCCGCTGATCGTCTGCTGCATATGTATGCGCGTCTCATACTACTCCGAACGATCCTATGATCTGTCCACAAGTTCTTCCGGAACTCCCTCTCTAAACAATATCGTTCGTTGTGTTGGAACAACGAACCGCGAAAAGCCATCTTCGGGTATGAAAACTCGGTTTGTTCATCAACAGAGTCGAGAGAAAATCGTGACTAGACAGGAAATTTTAATTATTGAGAAATAATTGTGTCTTTTTTGTATCGACATTAATTCTTAAGAAAATGAAGAATTATATAATGTGAGATTTTCTTGCGACATTTATACACGTTAGAAAACACGAGATAAAACGAAATTTCGAGCAATCTTTTTTTCTCACGTTACACAATGCACGGTCGGATAGCTTGCTGCAACGAACAATGCGCCGTGTAAAATAGGAAGTCGCAAATAATGTCCGAAAAAATTCGGTTAACGAAACGAGAAATGATCTAACACGTGAATTTTATTCCAGCCGTCGGAAATTAAAGCGGACGTGGTTCGATTTTCTCTCATCCTCTCACCGTCTCTCGGCCTGAGGCTCTCGCCTTTAACAACGCGCGAGACAAAAATTTCAGCGAGCTCGTTTCTCATCCGCGGCTGCGCCGCTCGGCTTTTCTTTTCTTGTAACCCGGCACGTAACAAACGATTCGCAGGGTGTCGACTCGCAGCGAAATTTTCCTTTTATTACCATTACGCGTGTATATTTAACCCACAGTGAGACTCTTAATATATATGTGGAAGGGTAATATTTAAATTCGCAATTGAAATTGTGATCGCACGAATATGTAAAAGAGAGAATAATTGAAACGGATCGTAAGAATTTCAAAATCTCTTTTTCATAAAATTATATATAATTAAATAGATGGAAAAATTGTCCGACATATAAATTGACGTTATAGATTTTTAAATTTTTGTTGTTGCAGGTACCACGAGAAAACACTGTCCAGCATCCGCCGATTTCGGCCATAAAGAGCGGGGGCATCCCGAATAGTTTGGGACTACGATTGGAGGCTGAACCCCGGCACTTCATGGGCGACGGCAAACTGGTGAAAGTCAAATGCATCGCCGAGGTGGGCTCACGCAAGTTCGAGGCCGAACGCAAGTTCCAGCTGGCATACGTAAACAATCAAAGGCTCAGCGCAGGTGATCATATGCATGCGGCCGCGCGCAGCATCCGCACCGGCTTCCTAGCTAAACTGCTGACGGCGATCCTCGCCCTTGCCCTGCTCATGACGTGACCTACCGGTTTTCTTCTCGCGTGAGTCGGCCTCCACGAACGGAAATCACGTTGCAGCGCGCGTGCGCGATCGCTTCAGAAACGCGCGGCGGGTTCAGTGTCAGTTGTCCGATCCTTACGTATATAAAAAGTTAGGCTTAGCTATTAAGCGACGATACACTCGATGATTAATCGATCGACCGGCTCGCTCTCGATCTGAACGCGCTTCGCGACGATACATCACCGACAGATTCTTTGAGAGAAACACATAGAAAATGAAAATCTCGTTGAGACATAATCGTGATAAAAGAATAAATTCCTATTACCTAATTATTCCATGCGTATTAATTATTTAATTTGCAAATATATTAATTATTATTTTATTTTATATTGTTATGCTAATTATTGTTATATTTGATTTATCGATTTGTATCAAGAGTCGAGAGAGATCGATATTATTTGCGGCGTAAATTTTGAAGATAGAAAATTTCTTACATATTTGAAGCGACTTCCTAGATCAGTATTTCCCATTAGGCCGATACTTAACCAAAAGTTTCCCCGTAATTTTCGCAGTGGTTCCTCTTTCTCCCTTCGATTTCTCCTTATCATATTTAACTCCCAATCCTTTTAACGAGTTCCAGATCTAAAAGACTCCTTAAAGTTCTCCTCGATTACGGCCCATAGTCGTCATTAACTTTTCATTCGAGTTTTAAGTTTTACTGCTAATAGCAAATGTCGCAAGTCAGATAGAGCGAGCGCAAAGTTGTCGAATAATAATAACGATCAATGATACCTCGACAATTTAAGTTTCCAGATTTATATAATTCTCCCAGATTTATCTAATCTCCTCTATTTTCCCTTACATTTGTCAGATGGTTTTCCAAGTTCCCGATAACTATATATACATATACAATTTAGTCTGCGCGCAAATTTTTGGAAAGTCACGCTCAATTCGTATTTTACTCTATTTTCGTAATAGAGTTTATTCTACTTTACTCCGACAATTACCGTCGTGGGGTTTAGACAGAACTAACTGTACGTACTTCATACAGCATGCACGTTGTACCGCGGAGATATAAATTCTAGTGCAGCGCGTGCAAATTCCGTTTTACGACACGCGTGAGATTAACTACTGAAACGCATATAAGTCGCCACAACTACGAAACACGCTTACGAATTATGTATAAATCAATAAATGGATTTACCGCATCGAGCTACCAACAAAAACGAGATTAATAATTCGGATATTAATCTCCGCATTGCAAAATTCGCGAGTGCGCTTGCAGTTATATACAGAGATACGAATAATAATTTTATTGAAAGAGAGGCTTCCTCTCTCCGTTGTACATATACAGTACGATCATGTAAAAATTTAAAATCTCGATTATTTCAACAAAAAACAATTTGTACGCCATTGGTACGACGTGAATAATGATTCGAGCATCGAAAATTCAACCATAGGTCTGCCCGTAATGAAAACATATAATGTCGAATTTAAAATTAGTATATCAATATTTTAATATCAAGGCGAAATTCATATTCGGCTAAAGACTTTTTAATTAACAACTTTTAATTGAATTTTTCTTTTTAAATTATTTTTAAAAATTCAATCAGAACGAATAAATACGAAATACGTATATTTTCCATATTCGCGACTAAAATTATTTTTCAATACGCGCGATTATTGTTTTAAAGAAGTAATATTTTTATACGGTCTTAAAGCCTGCATATAACATTTTCCATGGACGCACAATTGGGCAAAATATTTCGGCGAACGCGTCACGTACGATCATCCGACGATTTTCACTTTGCCGGATTCTAGCCCGGTTCAGTTGTGCAGTTTCATGTGTGTTTCGTCGCTGACGGCAGAAAGCGTTTGGTCGCGAGAAGCGAGCACGGGCGTACGAGCATGAAGTAAAGGAGAAAATCCTAAGAGATGATTCTGCGAGAGATAGAGAGAGAGAGAGAGAGAGAGACGGTTCATTCGACCGCTCTCTCTCTCTCTCTCTCTTTAGAGAGAACGCTACAAAAAGAAGAGTAAGCGTAACAGGAAAGTAAGGGAATGCGAGTGAGAGAGCAAGTACGATACACAGAGAAAGTGAAACAGAGCTCGTACGAAGAAGCAAAGAGAAAAAATGCAGCAGAATGAGCAGGGAGAAACATTGTGTGTGATCCAGGACGGAGACGCGAAGTTTGACTTCAAGAATGAAAGTAGGTGTGATATTATATAGTATCTAAGATATGACCCGCGTGCGTTTGTCTCCCGAAAAGCGGCCATCTCCGTCTCTGATTCTCTTCTCTCCCTTCTTACTTCTTGAAAGTATATCGATATTGTATAAATTCCTTATCTCATTGTGAATGATTTTCTTTCGACAAAATGGGATAGGATTTTGTCGCGAGATTCTCTTCACTGTCTCATTTAAATTCGCACAAAGTTTAATGACAAAATGAGAGTGGAGGGTACATTTAATTTTCTCTAATTAATTCCAAATCGATTCCGTTCGCTGACAATCAGCTGTTTACTTGACAAATACAAATCACTATACCGTGAATAAGCGAAGATGGCCGACTTTCGAAGAAAGCGAGTAACTAATGGAAATTAATGGATGCTGAAGCGCGTGCACGAGTGAAAACGTGAGAATTAACGCGACTGGCCTCGCTGCACATATCACAACACCTACATACACGTTAATACGTGCTTAACATACACGCAACATCACGCACATATACACATACCGACGCGCATACATACATACGTTTGGATTAAGAGATAGAAGGAGCAACCAACCCCCGCAGGGTGCGCAGGATACGCATATATCACGAGACGGTTTCCTTTTGATCGCTATCGCTCATCGACCCGAGCGTTATTTATTGGCTGTAATAATTTACGAGTTCGAGAGGAGAGAGAGAGAGAGAGAGAGACATGCTCTACCGCGCGCATAAACGTCGCTTCCGGGGATGATATTCGACCGAATCATTGTATCTGTGTGCGTAACATCTATGTGGAATTCACAAAACATTTTGCCGCGCCTATTCAAGAGCCATTCCCAATAAAAGTGCCAATACTTTTCTCGCGCATCGTTCTTTCCACATTCCGGATATACGCGCAACAAAAGAATTGTAAAAAATTGTGCTAAACAGTAATTCTCATCAATATATCATTTACTACCATTAAAAAGTTCATTATAAATATTAGAATATCGAATTGTCTAAGATAATGCTGTTAAGTTTAAATAAACTTTGATTTTATAAAATAAAATGCGACACTGAAGTTTACGGAGAACAATTTATTCTTTTGGATAAACCGAGAAAAGATTGAAGATGGAATAAACTTATCGCGTTCACACACGAAGTTTCGTTAACGATAAACTATTTATCAAAGTAGCTCAAGTTTGCAATAAAGGTAATTCGATCACGTATTTTTACAACCATTATCGCATTCATGCACAATTATTACTTTTGTACCATTTAAATATATCGGGGATAATTTACTATACTAACTCGATATCGCGCCGCGGTTAATTTTTCCAATTAAGCAATTTGTGCACAATTTCATGAATTATTTTACGGAATTTACATGTATATCAAAACAAATGTGTTAAGTGTTATATTATCGCGAGATTCATTTTCCTAATTAAATAATTTAATTGTAATGCTATTTACTCTGCAAAATTATTATTGTCTTCTATTTCCAACCAATAATGCCACCTATATTTTATCAATTTTACAAATAATTCGAGCATAATAATTCTCTAGAATGATATCCGAATCGGTCGGTAAAATTATATGATATTGTTTAAACAATATCAATCGATCGTGAGCATAAGTTACATCGTCGAAAGTTACCTATGTTTACTTAACGTTACTGGTGTCGCGAAACGCAGCTGGTCTCAAGTGAATGTCTAAATCGACAGTGGTAGGAATTTTCTTCGCTCCACGATCGATCGATATCCCAATTTTATGGCCCGTCGAATCGCGAAAGCCGGAGGCAGATTCGAGGATCCTTCTTGCCGGTTAGATCCCTCACATTCTTTAGAAAGACTTCAATGAATTCCTAGTAAACTTAAACGCAGTAAATGGTTTCCGACGACAAAAGCTACTCTTCAAAATTTTTGTCAGGTTCTTTATATTTTGTTATGCAGAACAAAACTGAACTTTTGTAAATCGAGAGTTCATTTTACTCACATATAAAATTTATATAGATATATCTCTCGACGTTTTAAAAAAAATTATATAAACTTTCATAGTATAAATTCAGAACTAGCATTAATTAATAATTATTTGAATAAATATGAATTAGATAGAAAGAATAATATATCCAAAATTCTGTATGATTGGAAAGAAAACTTTAATACGTGTAATGTGTAATAAAAAACTGCAAGATTTATCTACGAAGATATTTTGATAGCACAGATCGATATTTCAATTTTACAGTCTGTCGAGCACCAAAATTCAAAGACGCGCGAGACTTCAACCAAAGAATGTCCTCGAGATCTCGCTTGGATCCCGCAAATTTGCGTCTTGTCGTAGAATCCTTTACTGGATTCCTCGAGGAAACTTTATCTCTCTTCGTGTGTGTTGTTGAATCTTATTTTTACGGATGAAGCAAAGCTCAAAACAATATTTCCCAGAAAATTTATGATCCGTTTTCTTTGTTTGTCAATTAAATGTACGAACTCGTACAAAATTCATATCTCGACCACAGAAAACTGCCATTTCAGCTCAAAATATATTCTAACATTTTTCGATTTCCCATACTTCTCAATTTATCTCTTTCAATGTAAAAAAATGAAAAGGACGTACTGAATCGAGATTATAATACAATCCTGGTCAGGAAAACTGTAATCTCTTAGCCATCCAAGTAAACACTGCCAAGGGAATTTATTCGGGAACATATATGTATTATACAAGAGTATTTTGTAAAATTTTTAAAACGAGCATTTATTAATAAAAAAAAGTTCGCGTTAAAATTTTTCTAATCAGCTGATAGAAAGATCGCATTTATGTCTAGAAAAGAGAATTCTGAATCCTTCAGGGAAAAAGATCTAAAAATGCGTATATTAAAATCAATCTTCTTTGAAAGAAGAAGGAAAATAAGTGCAAAGCCATTTTTACAGATCTACATATTCCCATACACATCGTTCGAAGGGTTAACAGTCGTAAACTTTTCTTCTATTCCCCGAGTTTCATCCGAGCGTGTCGGCGAATCCGATAAAATCGTGGATCGAAGAGCAAAGCGATAGTCCTTTGTATAGGCACGATCGATACCTCGATTTTATGGACCGACGAGCGCCGAAAGCCCACGTATTCGGAATGCGCTTTCCCTCTCTCTCTCTCTCTCTCTCTCTCTTCACTTCGCACGTTTTC